AGGATTAAAGTGAAAGCACTATGACACAGCCTCCTCCTGTTAGACACTGACACAATACTAAGACTCACCTCAGAAGCCTCACAAACTCCCATCAGAGACAAAGAAGCATTCGTATCACATTTGGCTTCGTGAGATGATGGAGAGCTAAGAAGAGCCAAATGTTGAGATATCGAGCAGTGGGCCTTTAGAGCATACCTGCGAGATAACCAGAGAGCTTTCATCCTATACTAAACACAGACATAATGTACCCACTGTAAAGATAATAGCTGATGAAGATGAGGCAGAAGAGGAGTATGTACCTACTGTTCCAGACCTGGTACCAGGTGAACAGGATCATGTGCACCACACTGATTATGAGATTAAAAAAAAACACTGTTGAAGCTAATGTTTGAGGGTGAGGTTTGTAAATGTTTCTCTTCTGTTGCTGATGCTTGTCACATGCTCTCCCAAACTGAGAACTTAAACAGGTAATAAAGAGTAGCCTCCCACTCATCCTACTGCCAATTAATGCAAAAAGCCTAACAGTCAAACTGTTCTGCACTCCCCTCAGCTATCAGACACTCTGACTGCCCTCAAAGGCATTTCCCTGCTATAGAGGTCAAGATCCAGGGTGGAAAAACTGTAACACAGACTTAAAGTAAAATCCTGTTTATTTTTTTTTGCAAAGGACCAAAGCCCCACTCAGGTTACCCAGCAGATCATTCCCAATCGTCATTAAGAAAAGAGGTGGGGCAAAATATTTGCCAAGTTAAATATGTGAATCATCAAGAATGGTCATAAACCAAAATTCTGAGCAAACCCATCCGTCTTCTTTGCCATTTATGCTCTCCAGGGTTGTGGTTAGGTCTATCCCCCAGATTTTAGCAGACTGAAATCAGCAAAGACACCATCAACACTTCGATGGCTCATCAAATGAACACCTGTCACAGTTACCCTCTTCTGATTACCTGTTGAGATCTTCAGGTCTGGATCAAAGCGGCGGACAGGCCAACCACTGCAGTCGTTGAGGCTGCGGCTCTAACACGAACACCAACATCATTCAGTGTTTTAGCAGTGTTCATGAGTTTACAGAGAAACTGCTCCTTGACACTGAAAGAATGATCACAGTTCACGTGGCCGCCGTGTAATTTGGTGTTTAAGTGACTGGAGATTAAATTTTCGTTAAACCATTTGGCTTGCCCTCGTGCACTTACAGGCATCAAATTCCATTACCTTTCTTGAGCTGCTCATGCTAAACCTTTACTTTTTTACTTATTGGCCTTACACAAGTGGAAAGTGAGTTTCTAGTCACGAGATGCAGCCTTCAGTTTCCTTTATGTACACGCACATGATCTGGTTTAAAGTTTCCCCAAAAGTAGATGCTTTACTTTGTAACTTAAAGAATTTGGTCCAGATATGGCCTAAGACTGTTCATCATTTCATCTCTCGGTGATCTTGGCTTACTCACAAGAGTAGGTTTAAATATTTGGCCAAATAGAAGGCACGTTTTAAAACCAACACCTCTGCTCAGATACCTGCCATAATCAAGAGCAGTGGCGACCTCTGGAGGACACCACTGCAAATTACAACAACAAACCTCACGTTTATGTCAAGCTGATGATTATTATTTTTAATACTTCACTCTTCATCATCACTCATCTACTAACTTCATCTTGATTATGTTTGATAATAAAAAATAAGATTTCCTTGAGTTTTTAGTGTTTAAAGTAGAATTAGACCTGCTGTGATTTATAGCGTGGAGACAGTGGCACTGACAAAAAGACAAGAAGCAGAGTAAAAGATGTTAACGTTTTTATTAGTGACCAGGAGAGACATGATTATTGTTACAGCTCAGGTTGAGTGGTTTGAAGATAAAGCCAGAGAGACTGAGTTGGTTTGCACATGTGCAGAGGATGGATAGTGGATATATTGGACAAAGGATGCTGAAGATGAAGCCGGCAGGTAGCAGGAAAAGAGGAAGACTACAGACAAAATTCATGGCTGTAGCGAAGGGAAGGCATGCAGAGAGATGGGTGTGATAGAAGAGGATAATAGGGATAGGGTGATATTGTGACCCCTGAAGGGAGCAGCCAAAACAGCGAGAAAAAGGCAAATAGTGTTCCTTCAGTGAGAGGCAGGTGTTTTTAAATTTTTTAAACTCAAAAGTTTAAAACCAGATTTTCCTTCAATTGTGAACTTGTGTAACCACTAGATGGAGTGAGAGGTTAGTGTGAAACATACAGTACAGAAGGCCTCACTGTAATCTGGATGTCCCGTAGAGATTTTTTTAAGGCGATAGTTGTCTCTGCTAATAATATTACACTTAACAGTATTATTCTCTTCTTTTGCTGAAGCTTCCCTCTTTAATCAGCTGTGGTCTACAGTAACAGAATAAATGACCAAAAGTCAGGATCTAAATAGAAAACATTTGTGTGCAAGTATGTATGTGTGTGAAATGCTACATTAAAAAAACTGCATTCTTTCAATTGAAATTATTATTTTGTTTTGCAATATTCATTAAAACTTTGGGAACCTCTTGTTGTTCTTCTCAGTTGGCCCTCTATTTCTGTTTCTCTTTCTGTGGGTATATGTGCCCTTTATCGCTCATGGTGTCAGGGCACCTGTTCTTGCACGCTTTCACGCTGTCTGATCTTGGTCTACTTTGCATGCTGTGGGGTTTCTTCACCCTCAAAGTGGAAACAAAGGGCGGGGGAAGACATGTGCAACATGTGATGGAAACTCAAACCTTATTCCGGATCAAAGAAATGGATCAACAAAGAGAGGGGTGGACAAAAAGGAAAAGAGGAGTTGCATGAAGCAGAGAACCTTCCGAGCGGTCCACAACAAAACAGCATCATGTTAATGTTGTTTTTTCTTCCTTCCTTCAAACCTCCTCTTTTTTTGTCTCTCCGGTCTCTTGTTGCTTCTCTGTCTTTAACGCCCCATCTGTTTGCTTCTCCTCTTCCTTCCTCTTTTTCTTGTTTTCTTCATACATTGTGACTTATATGTACTTTTTTCCCCCTTCTTCCCCTCTTTTCTTCTTCTGCCGGCCTCTTGAAACTCACGCTCAGTAATCTCTGTCGCCCAGTTTTCCTAAGTTTTGGTATGAAAACATACATGTCTTGGTCTTGTCAGCATAGCAAGGTCACATTCTTTCATATAAGTAAGTGAGAGTTAAATAAGATACACAGCAGCTCAGAATCTTTAGCATGTAATCAGTGTCGGGAAGGTTACTTTTAAAATGTATTCCACTACAGATTACAGAATACATGCCCCAAAATGTATTTTGAAATGTATTCCATTATGTTACTGAGAGTAACGTATTCTGAATACTTTGGATTACTTAATAAATCACACAGCAATGTACTATTGCTGTGTGATTTATTACTGTTACTGAAGGTTACTCGCCATACCACTATCAACTACATTTAATATAAAATGAATAAGTGGGGTGGACATTAGGTAAGGCTGCACTTTTTGCAGTGATCTCATGTAGAAAACTATTCTGCGCGTATATAAAACAGGTCTGCGGCTCCGAACCGTAATAAAGGGACCTCTGGCTAATATGTCAGGATCCGTAGCCAAAAAATAGCTTTACTTTGTTGTGTGGGTCAACTTTGCTAGCGAGAGACAGAGAGAGGCGTTGAAAGGCTGCTCCAACAGAACTTAGTGTTTCGGAGAAAAACACGAACACAGCGTACAGTCGAGTCTTAATAGCTTACTTACAACTGGGCTCGTCAGGCACTCTTCTTGGCTGCAGTGGTTGTTATTATATTTACATGCTTCCAGCTCCTGTTTCTGTTCAGTGACAACTGATACTTTTTGACTCTCCTTTTTCTCCCTCCTCGTGCTCACAGGCACATAACGGGTATCTGGTCTTTAAGTGATGACGTGATGAATCCTGCTTCTGGGCCCAAACTACCCTGTGTTTAATAAGGCTTTTGTGTTTTTAACATGTTTTAATGCTTTGTATCTTGTTCTATTTATTCTCAAAAAGCCCCTAAAAACAGTCAGTGATCACTCTTGCCCTCTACCGGTTTTTATTACCACTATTCATTTTAAAGCTCAGTTTTTAAAACCTTACGATGCAACTACAGCCCAATTTCTAAATGATAGAAATGTTTGATCCAAACATGAAAACTTCTCCAGCATCTCTCACTTCAGATGTAGCTCCTCACCCAAGAAGCCAAGAATGAACTTGGCTTAAATCTTCATCAAATCCCCCTAAAAGGTAAACATTCCAATACAAGCTGGTCCCCTATAGATGCAGCCCCCCCCTTGCCAGCTACAACAAGTTGAAGGGACCCTGTAGATTGATGTCCGTGTGACACCAGCCGGGTAAATACCACAGAGTAGTATTCAGATCTGCCCTGCAGATGCACCCTCTATCTTTCTTTATAAGATCTCCTTCATAATAATAAGAATATATACTTTTTTCAGTCAATTTTCATTCTTCAAAAGAAGACAAGTTGACAAAAGACATGTAATGGAGCACAGAGTTCAATGTTCCCAAGTGAAAGGTCTGTGAGAAAAAGTGTAGACCTACATAATACTAATTTACACTCCTGCACATTTCCCCTGACATCAAAGAGAAGCATTAGACATCCATCTACCACCGGGCCAGAGTTTGACTGTAATAGCATTTACTTCCTGGCCATCTCGTGCCATCCATTCACAGTAGGACTGTGCGTACTCGCCGTTACACTACCAAAGTCCTCCTCTTTGCAGGCGGGCATGGCACAGCCTCACAGAGATGCACCGACATTATCCATTCACCGCACACTGGCCAACGCAAAACTGCAAGAAGCCAAGTTTTTCATTTTTTTCTTTTCTTGCCTTTGATTTGTAAATAGCTCTGTTTCAGTGCGACAACTTCCAGGCTTGTATCTTATGACCATCGAACATTTACATGAGAAAGTTGACAAAGGCTGAAACAGCGGAGGAGGCCTTGCAACAAAGAGTCCCATTTATAACGTACAGTCAGGGAGAGACAGTGAGAGGGAGGGTAGGAGGAGAAGCTGGGAGGGGAGTTGAATTAATGAATTAAAAATGTTGCGAAGCAGCGTCCGTCTGAATAGTTTTGGGTTTATATAGAGAGGCATGCTGGGTGGACCCTGGAGGAGTGGACAGCGCAAGCTTCTTTAACTTGTCCCTGTGGGGACACAGAAGGCTTCACATGCAAGGAGAGGCAGACTGTGCTCATCCGATTACATAATGATCCAGCAACAGTGAGCCGGAACCGGTACTGCCAGTGCCAGCGTGCTGCTGCGGTACACTGACTGACCGCTGGGACTCCTCATCCAGGCCTCTCCTCTCCTCTGACGGCTTTCATGTTTTTCTCAGTGAGTTTTTCTTTCTTTCTCTTTCTTTTAATCTTTTTTTTATGCATTTATTTATTTTTTAGAAATATAGGATGTCAGCAACGTAGGAGGACTGTGAAAGAAAACTAGGAAAACAACGAGATGAGGTGAAACATGCGAAACGTGTCAACAAGTGCTATTTGTTCAGCACCCTGAAATTTCACACCTGTTTTGGAAGGCAGATAACTTTCACCTCTTCCCACATGTTTGGTGGAAAGTGAAATTAAGTACATTTTTAAAATTTCCAAGCTGTGGGCAAAGTGAAAAGTCAAGGGAAAGGTAAGAAATGCAAATATTCTTAAAGGAAACGCATAAACAATCTGAAAAACTATTCTAAAATGTATATTCTGTAGCTGTTTCCACTCACCAAGACATGATTATAAGGTTAAGTTTTGTATTGTTTTGATATTTGTGGTTAATGTAGCTGACATATGTTAAATCTTGGAATAGTCACTTTTTCTTGCTATATTATAAACATGAGAAATCCTGCAGTTTAGTCTTTGAACTTTTTTCTATAGGCTTGAGGGAAACTGGTGCTGAGTTTTGTTGCAGCGGCTGTGTTGTGTTTACAGTGCGGAGGGGTATGAGTGGTGTGTAGCAATGGACGAGTTTCCACTTCTAAATCTGTGCACTGTGACACAGAGTTCATGTAGCTTTGAAGTTACAAAAGTTTCCAAAAAACAAGCCTGACTTAGTCATCGAATATTTAATTTTGGAGCTGGATGTATCGGAAGTCGAAGATTGTTGGCACTGTACCACAGACATACATTACTAACAAAGAGCTCTACAAACCACAGAGGAAACAACAGGTGTGGTTCTGTTTCACTACTCTACAGAAAATCTTTGCTGGAAATATCTGGTCAAATGAATCACTTCTTCTCATTGAGAAATCCCCAGAAGCAGCCATTCAGATTTATATCAGATTTATATCAGATTTATATCAGATTTATATCAGATTTATAGTAGCTTTGGCTACTGCTGACTTAGAAGAAGATGGTAAAAGTCACTCCTGAGTAATTCCCCTGTGGCCAACAGCCGCTCGCCATTGTTTAATATGGGCCAGCGTTGTAACTCTCCAGTCACTGACTCTTGGAGACGGAAGTGAAAGTGAATTGTTTCATGGTGGATTTAGATGTAGTCTGGTACAGTCTGATGCTATTTTGAGAAATACGTCTGGTCACTGTAGACACTGTTTACTTCCTGTTTTTAAAATGTGAATAAATGTAAATCACATTTTATAGGTGTAGAAATACAAACAATCTGAACATTATGTAAGTTCAAGTTAAAATAGCAGAAAATGATGTCTATAGCTTATTATGACACTCATATGGAGTTGCATTTAATGGGGAAATGTACTGCCGGAGGTGCATGCACTGAATGAACTCCAGCAGCTTCAGATGCACAAGCTTTAGTACGTTCTGAATAATAATATTATTTACTTGTAAACAAACTGCATGTCAGATATTAAACATTAAGCAATTGGTTGCAAATTATACATTTAAAGGTATATTCTGTAATTTTTTAGGTTAGTTAAAGGGGAGAAAGGATATGTAGAACTCCAAAGGCAGAGGAGAAGATGAGTTGAAGGTGTTTATGAGCCATGAAGGGACATCTATTCATGTCTGCACCTTCAGACTTATGACATTAAGGATCATATCTATGGATTATCACCAGAGAAAGAATCCCCTTCCCCAAAGAAATAAAATGTGAAGGAAAGCGACAACACCACCAGCATCTTGATAAAATGTCACCCTCTTCCACTTCACCACAAGCATGATCTCCTGACCTGTCAGGGCTCTAAGACACAAATAATTATTTATTGTCACAAATAATAATTATCAGACATTCAACCCTCCTGTCTCCAGACAGCTGCCAATAAGCCAGCTAAACATCAACAGCAGGTTACAAGCTAATGCTATGTTAGTGAATGCTAGGCTCAAGTGTCCTTAAAATCATACTTTGCCTCTGATAAAGTGTTTGATTACATTATCAAATCATATGAGAATTTATTTGCTAAGCATCCGTGTCCAACAATGTACATTCACTTCAAAGATAGCTAACGTTGGCAAACGGAGCTAATAAAGGCTAACAGCAGCTAACAGCGGAAACAAAACAGTAAAAATTACGACAGTTCAGCACATACTCAGCAACTCATCTTAGCATCCAGGGCTGGACTGGGACAAACAATCGGCCCGGGCATTTTGACTAGAGACCGGCCCACCAGGTATTATAGGAAAAATCATAAAGCCTTTGAATGAAAACAAACTCTGTTGTCACAGTGATGTACACTGTCTTGTTGGTATATATGCATCAGTCTAATAAACTTAAACCTACACCATCCTCCCTATTCTGGTATTCTAAACAGTACCCGAAAGTAGACTGCTTGGTCGAGTTAACCTCCTGAACTCTCTACAACACATGGTGAAAACCTGAAATTAAGACAGAGAAGACTAGAGGTGAGATGTGATGCTGCTGTTGTTTAGCACGACATCCGCCGGTTTCTTCTTTCTGGCGCAAAGTGGGCGATAAACAAACAAGAGAGAAAAGCCAATCAGCTGATCATTGATCAGTTTCATGATTGAAGTAGAAACAGGGGAGAGAGGGTGAGAGGATGAGAGAAGAAGAGGCAGCTGTGCAGCAAAGACACCGAATAACTCCAGCTTTGTGTCTTTTTCATTGTAGCTGAAGTCCGGGACAAACTGTGCTCCTTTTCACCTCAATAAGAAACGCATAATATTTTCTCTGAATATGAGACGATTCTGTTTTTTACGGGATGGTTGGAAACTCTAATAACTAACCTTATAAATAAAATAAGATAAAACAAGTTCAACATCATTAACGTCATAGCACCCGCCCAGCAGTATATAAACTCCATCGTGCTAGCTAGTACGCAGTACGAGTTATTGTAACTGACTGTAAAAAGTCAGCATTACGAAAATAAACTCCACCTAAACCTGATTTATATCTGACCCAGATAGACTGCAGGTCATAACTTCTTACCTGAAGTTCAGTTCACCGCCTCAGGTCTCTGCTCCTCCTGCCTTTCCGTCATCCACCTGCCAGCGTGTTGCATCTGCTGGCCTCCACCACTTGCTAATGTTACTGAATCTGTGGAAGCTCCGCAATAGCCACCACCAAACAACTGAGTTATTTTTACACATCTCCCAGCACCTGGCCAATCCACCACCTTTCATTGTTTATACCGTTACGGGAAAAAAACAAAAAAAACCCAAAACCCATAAAAATGAAAAATCACCATCGGTCCACCGGGCAAATCGGTATGCCCGATGGCCAGTCCAGCTATGAGAGCATTTGTAATTGGTCAGAAGTGAGTTTCACTGACTAATCAACTCATCATCCCTTCACAAGTAAATAATGGCAGATGCTTCCCACCTGGCATTGACAGCTGAGGTCAACAGCGGCCCAACAGCCTTCCACAGTTATGGAAAAACTCTGGGGTGGAGTACAGTGCAAGCGGTATTTCAATCATGCCCCAATTTAATGCTAGTTTTGTCTCTCTTGGCTGAATAAAACATGTTCGTCCCATAGCTGCAACCATAGCTAGAATTATGCACTTGAATTGGGAGACTTCAGTTGACTGCAATCTACTGACATGTAGCAGTGAAATATGTTACACACTGTAACTTTACTAATGTGTGCTACTTAGTCAAGGTTCCCACTAATTATTCCCTAAACCCTCTAAATAGATTCATCTTTTATAAATATGCCTTTTGCAATAGTTTAAATAAAGTTTTCACATACAAAGAACAGCTCGAGTCTGCAAAAGCTTTAGTGTCTGAACTTCAGCCATGAGACAACAGCAGCTCATTTGCATGGTAGTGTGAGGTCCAGAAAGTTTGTCTTGTTTGGCCTGAGCAGATGCCCTCTTGGCACATTGTTGATGCTTAGATTGTCCTTTCAGTCCAGTGCACAGGCCGCTGTGGTGTGGCCAGTGGTCGCAGCCATTCAAGCTGTGCTGTATAGACTCTTTTCAGTGCAGCGTACTGGCTGCTGTGGGTTCTTTATGATTGTGGACCCTGGATGGAGGCCCTGAGTAGAAGGGATTACTCTCGCCTCTGGAATACTAATGACGCTCTTTTGTCAGCGATCTGCTTCCTCCACCTTCCCTCCATCTTATTCCTTCCTCTTTTCCCCTCACCATCCATATCTCTCTCTCTCTTCCTCTTTCACTCTTTTTGTCATCAGATGTCCAACTTTCTCTCCATCCTCCCCTCAAAACTAATTATTCTCTCTCTTACCCCGCCCCATCTCGGCCCCCTCACAGTGTCAAACACTGCATACTCGCACACCATCAAACACATTCGCAAAGACACACAACACACACACACTTCAGTGCTCAGTTCTCCTCTCCTTTCCCCCCGTCTAACTTGCTCTCTCGTTCACTCACTCAGTCGTATTTTTCAATGGTGGCTTTTGTCCCTTTCATCTCCGCAAAAACAAAGGATTCTTGTGCACACAGGACAGAGGGAAGGAGAGGGCTGAAGGGCAGGACACAGAGGAAGAGATCCTAACCTTGAGTGGTCATCCAATAAGTCATGTTGAAAGTGTGGGAATCCATCAGTCTTACTGTCAGCAGGAGGGATATTTGCTTTAGCTCAGCTAACATTGGTATTCTTACCCTCTAAAGAGACATTTGATGAAAATGAAATTGTAAACAGACATTTTGGTTTTTATTACCGTTTGCTTTAGTATTTCTTTCTTTATTATTTGTTTATAGGGAAGTGCCCATCTATGGATGCTTAAAAATAGCAAACAATAAATTTCTTTATGTCTAAGACTATACTGACAGAGGAAGTGTTGTTGAAATTTAAAGTTTTTCTTATCAATAACGCTCATGAGGAGATCTTTGTGATAAATCTCAAATGTTGTCCAGCAATTATAAAGTCAAAGTAAAAGCAATGCTTGACATTAAGAATTCATCCACAGAAGAAAATAGTACCCAAACAAATGCACTAGCACAGGTTTTTCTACAGTGCACAACTTTGAAATAATATTTTACAAACGTGAATGTGAAAAGATTCGGATGCTGTGTAAAATGCAACTAAGAACAGAATTAAACGATTTGCAGATCTCATAATGCCCTAGTTTATTCACAGTAGAACACTGGGCTGGCAACAGGTCTGCAAAACGAGTGGGTGTGAAAAGAGCATCTTGGAGAGTCAGAGTTTCTCAGAAGTGAAAAATGGGCAGAGGTTCACCAATCTGCAAAAGCTGCATCTACACATTGTAGAACAAATTCAGGATAATGTTCCCTAGACTACAATTTTATGAATACCAAATCAACTACAGTACATATTATTGTCAAAAGATTCAATTTAATGCCAGATGCCAGAAATTAATACAGGATGTTGCATTAAAAACAAATGATTCTGTGATGGAAATCCCTGCATGGACTCAGAAACACTTCCAGAAACCACTGACTGTGAACACGGTTCACTCTGCCATCTTAAAAATGGACTGAGGCAAAGTAGAAAACTCTTCTGTTGTCAGATAAACTGAAATTTAAAATTTCTTTTTGGAAATCATTGACAACATTCTCCATACTAAAGAGAAGAGTGACGATCCAGCATGTCACCAGCACTCTGTGTGCTGCATTGTTTGGTATGGCAGTGTACTAGTATCTATTTGCAACTTGCACATCTGTATAGGCACCATCATACTGAAAGGTATAGCAGGTTTTAAAGTGACACATGCTTCCATCCAGATGAGATCTATTTGAACAAAAGCCTTGTATATGATAGCAAAAACATTGTAAACCAAATCAAACTGCACAACAGTGTGTCTTTATACTAGAAGTGTCAGTTGAAAGAAGAATGGATGTGACACAGTTAAACACGTCCCTTCCTCTATCCTAACATTTTTAAGACTTGTTGCTGCCATAATACACAAAATATCCTTCTTTTTTTCCCTTAAAATAGTAATTTTTAAAATGGATGTGTTTTCCGGGCCCTCTGACCACCACCAGTAGGCAGTGGGTAAAGTGTCTTGCCCAAGGACACAATGACCGAGACTGTTGGAAAAGGGGCTCGAACCAGCAACTTTCCGATTACAAGACAAACTACCAACTCTTGAGCCACAATCGCCCCGTGGCTGTTTTAAAATAGCCTAAAAAACAGATCCTGATTCTTTATTATAACTAAATTACCCATATTTCACGTGTTCTTTGCTTTATTTGTTTATTATAAATGGCAGACAAATATAACTGGAGAGCACAGTAGAAATATTTCTCTTTTGAGCTGTTGGAGTGTAAAATGAGCTAAAATAAGACAGAATGTTGGACTTATAGTTACCACGTGAACTTAAACATGATAAAAAAGAGACAATAATGCTGTTCTGTGTCTGCTTAAGGTTACTATATGCCAATATTGTGTTGCCACTTTGTTGTCTTTTCCCCAAGTTAATAAAATAACCTTTTACTTAACAGCTAAAACAGTGTCCTCAGTTGAAACGAGCTGGCTTGCTAAGACAGGGACTAGTTTCTTGCTAAATTCTAGTATTTTTGTGGTATTTCAGGACAGTAAAATTGAATATACGGAATAAAGAAGGCCTTATCCTTTAAATTAGTTTTAGGTGATGCATGTTTTTTTTGGACTGTGTTGTTTTTGCAAACCACACATTCCTTTGAACAACAGCTGGGGTTGTGTTACTAACGCTAACTGCTCAATATATATCCAAAGCACAAGTGTGCATTTACTTTATGTGTAGGCAGGCTTTCTGTAGGGTTCAGAGTTCAGCTGGAGATGGACAAGGCCAATCACATGTGCCCGCCCCAGACCATGCCTTCCTCCCCTCTTGCTCCCGTCCACATCTTAGTATTCATAGCAGTGCAGACTTCAACACAGATCTCTATTCATTCACTCAGTGTGAGCTGAGCATGGAGAGAGGGGAGACAGGGGTCAGGAAGGACAGGAAAGGACAGTGTGTATCAGATTGCAATGATCCTTAGGCCTTTGTTTGTGTTGTTTTTGTTTATGGTTTTGTTATATTTGCTCCGGAAAGCAGAGGCAGTTTGAGACAAAAGGGCTGTTTAGTAAACAGCGAGCGCAAGAAGAGGGAAGAAAGGAAAAAGAAGGATGTGTAGAAAGAAAGAGTGCAGCCCAGATGAGGGTGAGGTTGTTGAGAGCACAGGAGGGAATCAATAAAGTGACAATAAGTGTCCATGGCAGCCAGAGGTGGGGTGGCAGGCCTTTTAGTTAATATACCATTGACACTATGAGAACCACTTAAACCATCACTTATTGTACCGTCACAGGGTATTGCCAGTCACGCACATGCACGTGACAAACTCTCTAGTTCAATGATGAAGTTGTAGCTTTGGATATTAAGCCATAGGCATTAATATGCTGCTATGATGAGTGAGTCTTTTCATCACATTTTGGAGCCTGGCTGCAGGGATTTGTTGTCAGTCCTCCACAGCAGTATCAGAAAGACCTGACCTCCAGCTGGCTTTCCAGTTCATCGCCAGAAGGTGTTGGATTTACTTATAAGCCCATCAGAGTCTTCCAAACTCTGAAAATCATTTTTTCGGAACTGGATTTGTGCATTAGATCATTATTGTGTTGAAACAGGAGCAAAAATATCAACAAAATGCACACATGTAACGTTGTCCACTGACATACTGTAGTTATTTCTTATGTTTACTTTTTATTTTTCTATGGTAGACATTTAAACATCTCTGACTAGCAAGTCAGCTCATCACCTGCTAAAGCAACATTAACTTACATGCAAACCTCTATTTTTCGCTAATACCAGAGCAGCTACACTTCCCTAGCTTCTACTACACACTCTGCCAGTGGCGGTCCTAGCCTGTTTGGCGCCCTGGGCGAACACTCCCTCTAGCACTTTTTCTTGATATTTATTTATAATCACCTCTGTTAATCCTTGATATTTATAATTGAGTGATCTGTATATAATAGTGCTATTTCTTAAAT